CCACGATTATTATTTATAAAAGTTTACTTTAGGCTTAACATCGACGAAAATTCAATGCGAAGCGAAACACAACGGAGAAAAATTTCAACACGAAATAGGTTAATGTATTTTTTCGTACTTAATCGGTTATCCGAAAAATAAGTTATCCGAACAGCCCCAGTCCCCAATTGATTGGGATAAACGACGCTCTACTGTATTTAGTTTTATAAGAATCTGTTTTGTAAGAGCGAACATGTGTATGATTTACGATAAAAAATTACATATGACATATACTTTATTTAAATTGTTTTAGAAATTTAGCATTTAATCTGCTAAATCAAACAAAGTATGTTTCATTTTGTTATGAAAATATTGTAAGTTATTTGTTACATAAACTTAATCATTGTGCCCAATTTCATTTTAAATTCATAAAGATTATAACTTGTAATATCTGTAGGCATTATTTTAGATTTATAGCGAATATGTAAATAGTAATACTTTAGAAAAATAATAATTATGCAACATTTTCAGATTAAATTAATCAAAATTTGCAGAAAATATGTATTATAAATGGATAATTTTATAAATCTAATTTAGTTATAAAGATTAAGTAAAAGCAAATTTCTATAGGCTATCTTTTATCACTATTATTCCAATAATATACACTTATATACTTATTTTATAGGCCTATATTAAATACAGTTAAACTGTTTCAGTTGATATATGTTCACGTTTCCTATGTCAAAAATATAATAATAATAAATATAATATAAAGGAATAGATTTTTATTAAGTAGGTAAGATCAATAATTTACTTAAGATTTTAAAACTTATCCAAGTAACAGTTTTATACTACATACTTTTTATTAACACTGGTAAATTACGAAGTCTGATACACAATTAGGATACATCATGATAACGCACACTAAGAAAAGATTTTTCGGAATACTCCTGCGGGGGGGAGAGAGAAAGCATTAAGGCTTAACCTAAAGAGCGGCTTCTACTGTACTATTTTAGATGCGATTTTTTGTTTTCAACAACGTTTAGTCTTCATTGAGTACTTAGGTGTGTTAAATTAATAACATTTTAGACATTGTTATAAAAATTTTGGTATTTTTCGATTTTTTAATCAAATGTTCGAACCGTTTTAAATTCGAATTTGTTATTGCATATTGGTTCGATTATAGAACGATTGTAAACGTTCCAGAAAATTGATCAAATTGAAAATAGTTTGTTTGATTCTCAGCAATTCTTATTATTCTCAGCGATAGGTGTTATATAACTATTACTATGGTTGTTGAAATACTGAATATAAATAAGGTTTGATTGCAAAACCCCCGCAAGCAAAGTCGCGGATAACAGTTAGTTCTGTTTATAAAGAATAAAAGTATATTTGGCAGCACGGCAATAACGGCTCTCGTCTCTCTTCATATTCATATACGTTTATACAGATCTTACTACTATGACGACACATTATCGCTTACGAAACCAGTCATTTTAAAATAATTTGGCGGCTTTCTCATCTTGAGCTTGTACGGAAAATCTCAAAACAAACAATGATTAATATTAATAAATAGTAAGTTACTGTACTATAATACTATTAAATAACGCAGGCAGAAACATCACAATATATTCAAAATTTAAATATGAAATATTACATATTTGATTATCTAAAAAATATAAATAATCAAGCAAAATTTTTTATTTGAAACAGTAAAATGGATAGTTCAAAATTATCTAAGACTTATCCTCTGTGAAATTTGCTTTCCAGGGGAAGGTTCAATCTTATTTTTCCCCTGGCTTTACTCCAGCTACGGTCTTTATCCCGCGCAAACTTACTTCTTACCAATAGCACGCTCAGAGAAAAAGCAAATGGGCCTTGCCCCCTCGAAAGAAATAAAGGAAAACAAACACTAAAAATTTTCCAGATATCTTTACTTAATTGAAATTTATTTTTTTATTCATATTGTGTCGTGTCTTCTATTCCTATCCTACAAATTAATCTGCAAATGTAGAAATTGTATTGAATTCTGATTAAAAAAATTTTTTATTTGTTCAACTCGGCTTTTCCAAGACTAAAACCTTGAGTTCGCCACTGACTAAAAGGGTCTATTTTTTACCCATTGCAAGTTCAAAAAGTCCCGCAATGCCGCATTTTTCACCAGTTGAATGGTGAAAAATGGAGCCTAACATATCTGGGTTGATTTTCCCTCGAAAAAAACTTAAATCATCTCTGACTTGAACCTTGGCCAGGAATAATAAGCTGAGAGCTGACACTTTAAAACAGTAATCGTAGCAACGTTAAAGAGTGGCGTCGCTATTTGGGAGTAACAACATGGTGGACTTTCTATAACGGAAGATGCCACAGAAGACAGAAAATAAGGCTATAGCTCGGTAATTTGTTATGCGCTTTTAACGAAACTTGTTTTATTTTACTTCTATTTTCATTTGGTGTGTACGATTTTTACATAAACAAATGACAATAATAAAAATTAATTCTAAACAGTGAAAATGACATTAATTTTTTTCGCCCCGAAATTTTATTTAAATATGTGCTAGATTATTTCTGTTTCCACAACTAAGTATAGAATGTGGCTGAAACTTAATAAACGTTTTAGAAAAAACATGGCGGCAGCTGTACATATGACCAGAGTCGATAGAAATACAGATGCTGCTGCTGCCAAAAGCTTCAATGCTACGATACTGGCATAATACATATTGGACGTGGCTATTTATATATACAGTATGTATACTCAATTGGCTATTTATACATATTGATTGTATGTTCCTATATTCCGGCCTGATACTCACTGTATGCGCTATTACTACAATTAATATTTTGATAATAACTACACAATTATAAATAATTATAGTTTTATTTATTAAGGTTCAGTTACAATGTTCAATAAACTAATCAATAAACTATGAAGTGTCATTAAATTAGTGAAATTTAGGTATTGAAATTTAAAGTAAATTGGTAGGTGTACAGTACCAATAAAGTAAAGTAAATATATAAATTTTTATTCAGTATTTTATTTTATTTTTTTATAAAAATGGTCTGCTTAGTCTTTCTCTTCGGACATCCTTTGCATTTAATTTTAGTTTTGAATTTTAAGTTCTTATTTGATTGATTTTAACAGGGCTCGTTATTAGACCGAATTTGTTCTTTAGATACTTCTGGTTCAATTGTACTCTCTTATTCAAAAAAAAAAAAAAATTATTTCTTGCATTGCTTTCTATTAGTCTACTTTTAATTCCTCTACATATTTATTGAAGGCTTGCGTTTTATAATTAGACAAAATATTTGCAATATTTTAGTTATTGCCAGTGCCATATTAAATTTTTCCCTATCCGATAATATTTTGTTGGGACAATCAAAAATCATCAGTAAAAGTTTCATCTTCAATATGATCATCGATGTCTAAATTTAAATCGTCTGTATCCATACCTAGTGAATTTTCAATTAAAATAATATATCTTGCATGAAAGCAATTTTTGAAAATTTGTTCAAATTATTATAGTTTCTTATCATAAGAATATGACGACACGGTGCACTAAAAAAATTCCAAAATGAACAAGAACATGTTTCCACCGATGTATTATAAAATTTTGCTATTTTGCAATCAAGATTTTTCTCAATGTCATGCAATCGAAAAGGAAGCATTATCAGAGATAAAATATTATGATTTAGAATACTCGTTTCTCGATAATCGATATCATAATTAGTATATCGATAATCAAAATTTAGGATATCCTAAATTATAAATAACAATAAAACTGTCACCTTTACGTCTTGGTTTTAATTAACAGAAAAAAATGACGTAGAAATGTGGAAAGTGGAATCAAGTACTGTGTCTTGAAGTGTACTTAAATAATTATCTGTGCTTAAATTGCCAATTTGTTTGATGAAGCTTGTATCGAAATTAATAAAAGCACGTAGGAATAAAATAAAACTTAGTATTCGAGCGATAGAAGACGAACAGACGACACATTTTTCCGGACAACTTCTGTAGGAATTCAAAGACAAGCAGCACTTTTTTTCAACATTTTTTAATGTACTTTCTTCGTGTCACGAATTAGGATATCCATATTTGGTAAAATGAAATGACACGTATGATTACTACCTAAACTCTCAATGTTTTTAAAACTTGCTTGAGTGAGTAGCAGGACCAGAAAGGTGCGTCAATCGAAAAGGAAGCATTATCAGAGATGAAATATTATGAACTTCCCTGTCCATACTTTAAATATTTTTTAAATGTAAAGCTTGTAATTTAAATCAATTATTAAATTAAAAAAAAAAAAAATAGTTTGAAATTTCACATAAAGCTATAAGCTACATATTGCACTACAATTAATGTCCTGATTTTCAGAGCATTAATAAACTGCCATCAACAGCAACACTGCATACTGTAATTCTATTGCACAGATGGCGGTTCAGATATAGTTATTGTCATTAATAATATTACTTTTTTGCTATGCCAATATTAAAAGGGATTACATTATTTGTGTATGGGAACACGACACTGAAGAAGAGTGCCTCTCGGGAGAAATTTCAATGGAAAACTGACCCCTATTTAGATGTTACAAACGTGAAGAAAACTCGAAAAATTCTATGTTGTCAGCCTGTCGGCGAGGCACAAACTGACTAAAAACTACAAATGTTCAGTGGTTTTTCCACTCAGACACAGGTAAACAATTCTAAAAAACTATCAACCCTGTTCATTGTGGTACACAACGGTAGATATGTTCTAACCTACAATGGTAAGAGACTGGTCTCAACGTATCTAAGATAGATCTTTCATGAAAAATTCTTGGAGAGTTGCTTTCCCGGATTCGATGCCAACTCATCCAAAGAGGTGGGCCAAGACGTTTACTGCCATGGCCATCACCCTTTATTTATTATTACACAGGGACTAATTCAAAAATTAAAAATAGAAAATAAAACCACAAATTAATCATTAAAATTTTTATCTACTTCAATTAACGCGTAACAAAGAAACTCAACAATTGAATTTTCATTGTCTAGCTCTATTATTGCAAGAGTGCGCTTTACAATTGACTTAAAAATGTTTTTTGATTCATACAGTTATCAACCCTTGCCAGAAACTTTGGAGTAAGAGATTTTTCACAAATTATTGTTATTTATGCAAATAAGAAATTTATTCGAAAAATTAATGGCTTTAAAATGAAATTGCTCGGTGCAGATGATAATTACTTTAAATTGATTTAAAGATTTTGACTTTTCGATATTACTGAATGTAGTTTTTAAGCAAACATTTTTATGTTTTTCTGTATTCTATAATCATTTTGGTGTTGAAATGAAAGGGTTAGATTTGCATGTGAGTTCAACAGCTTAGAAATTAAGGTCTTGTGCTATGTAAATACATCTTAGGGCTTTTTACATATACTGTTACTTAGAAAAGGATACAGAATACGTTTTTAACTCTATGAACCTATTTTTATAGACTTATTTATCATCTGTAGACTTTTCGATTCACTACACGTAATAAATGAATTTATTGTCATAAATGATTAAATTAGTAGTTAACAGATATAATTTGTAAGCTGTTAAATTTTATTATAACTTGTTTTATAATAAGATGCTTATTAAAGATTTAAACATAATTTGTAAAAACTTCTTTCCCTCACTCAAATTGATGAAATTTTACGAGTTCCTTAAGCCGTGCATTGTTTAGTTTACAGTTTGATAAGAAATTTTGTTATACATTAAATGAAAAGTTTCTTTAGAGTGTAGTAATTTTTCTAAAAGGTTACATAAGTACTCATTGGAAAATTTTTATATATTCGATTTTAAAATCAGAATAAAGGTTTCGGTATTTAACATTTATTGTGTTATATGAATTTTCTTTTTCCATTTTCAGGGCAAGATCAGATGGACGTGCGGGATTCGTGAATCCAAAGAATTTGGATCATGTTAAATTTCGGGGCAAAAATAAAGGCCTATTGGAGCAGGACGAACCCGCAGAAATTAAATTTGGAAAGTCCATCTTGAAAAATAACATCAGTCCTGCATATAAACAAACAATGGATAAGATTCGGCCATTTTACGATATTACGTGCGATCGCTTTAACAGGTAAGTTATATTACTGTTTATATGTAATACAGTTATATCATGTTGATAGGTGCTTCTTGTCCTTAATTACTTATATTATACTGTTATCCACTTTAGACATTCTTGTGTTATTATAACAAGTCTAAAGTGGAGGTCCACTGTGAACTTGTTATAATGAGGAAAAAGAAACACATAATTTCCAATTAAAATATATTTACTGTGATGTAATCTTATATGCTATTATATCACAATCGAGCATTTCGGGCCGACGTTTCTTCTCAGCAGACGTTATCTTTTTATGTTTATATTTTAATTTGCCCTTATCGCTGCAGACTGAGATGGTGTGAGCTGGATAATTACTCAGTGGGTTAAAGAGTTGATAATTCGTTTAAGGAATTGAGTGAATGAAACTCTGTTGTAATAAACAGGTAAATATTTAGAGAAAGTTTTGCTGGAAAAGTTAAAAAAATGGCATTTTAAAGGTCTATTCCGAAAATGTTAAAAAAAATACATATGGGTATATTAAATTATAAACATAAAAAAAAATTGTATTTGCTGAGGCAAAACGTTGACCTGAAATGCTCGATCATAGTGGCATATAAAATCTTTTATGTACATTACAGTATAGACAGTAAATATATTTTAATTTGAAATTGTGTTTTTCGTCCCTCATTATAACAAATCCTAGTACACAAAGAATGACCAAAATGGACAAAAGTATAATACAGTTAGTCTATACACTATTATAATATAGTATGGAATAAGCCGCTAAAGGATTAAACGTTTTTTGAAAATATAGTTCATTTATATTAAAGTACAATATATTAAGGGATGGTCATATGGACCATTCCTTTACTATACCGTAAGTGATTTCAGATACATCTGAAATCACTTACGTAAATTTATATAGTATATTCTACCATTCGTATAAATTATATGTACAGGATGAACACGCGTCTCAATTTTCTCTTCTTTTTAGAAATCAAAAATATAAATAGGATCGCTTAATATGACTTGTAATTTAATGTGACAAATTTATAGTCACTACATTATTTTTACTTTCTCTGCTCTGTTGTATATAATAGAGGGAAAGTATGGCGATCGGACAAAAATTGATTTCTAAAACTTTTACATATTATATATTTTACAAGACTCTGGAGATCTTGAAACGTGCAGAAATGCAACAAAAATCGGGGGTTTTCTGTATATATAGATAGATGTGTTTGTGTGTGTTTGGGGGCACGATTTTTTTTATCTTCTTTGAAGCTTAATAACTCTTGTGCTTTTTGCTGAAAATTTCGGAAATTTTTTAGGGAGGTTTGAGTATTACAAGGATTGAAGCTATTAGGCTGTGTACACACTAGGCGTTTTAAAACGCGCGTTAGCTCGGCGTTCGACGAGCGTTTTTGGAGCGTACGCACTGGCTCAGTTTGGAAATGGACGTGAAAGTAATTGATTGTGTGTGCCTACTCCATCGTCGCTATAAAAGACGATGGCAGACACAAAGAGAATTTTGGGTGCACCCAATATTACGAGATAGACTGACTCATGGAATGTTTGCGACGTTGTATCCAAAACTAAGACAAAATGAACCCAAGTTTTTTAATTCTTTTAAAATATCTATAAAATCCTTTGACGATGGTTGGTCTCTTTTAGATTTCATCAATAAATAGATCAGTATCGAAATGATCGTTCTCCATTTTAGCACATATATCTCAAAGCGCTCAGCTGACGCCCGCAAAACGCGCGCTTGGCCAAAAGCGCGCGTTTGAGTGTGTACGCATATGTAGAACTCTTGATTCTTTAAAACGAGCGTTAAACGCGCGTTTAAAAACACCTAGTGTGTACACAGCCTTAAAGTTTGGTGGTGATAGTTTTAGGGGTGTAGAGATAAAAGGAGTCATGTGTCTTATCTCATGTAGGGTCCGATCAAACGACGATTTTACTTTTTGTTAGCATTTAAAAATTTTTTATAAAACTCATCCCTACCCTCAAAATTATGCTTTTCATTATTTTATAAAAGGTTAAAATATCAAAAGTTTTTTAAGTAAAATAATATAGCGGATGAAGCCACCAAATGTTAGCGGGAAATTTAAGCAACTCGTTACTAGATTTTTAAAATAAAGTTTAATTATTATTAGACAAATTTTTCTTTCATTCTTCAGAACTCTCCTTGTTTAGGTAAAAAATATATGGTCACTCCATATATTTAATACAATGATGTCAATTATTTATATATCTGTCTATATTTATCTACACATAAAAAAACAGGCGGCTACGTATTCTTCGTTTTCATTAATATGTATGGACCTCTGTCCTGATGTTATTGAGTACATCGTTAAGCGACATATGCATCCTCTATATATATTCAAAGTTCAATAGAGCGCCACTGTTCACCTCTGAGATCGTCACCGAAAAATTTCAAAGCCAAGAATTACATACACTAACGAGTTCTGCACATAACTTTAAATTTGAATTAGAGGAGGACCTACATGTCCACAAAATAGTAATAACTTTAATAACGTCGGAAGGCATCGAAACTTTAATCGTGAATTAGAATGCATTTCGCTCTAGGTATATTGTTCAAGTGTTCTGTTGCCATAACTTAACAGACATCTAAGCGATAATTTCTTTATTTCATGGAATATTTTAGACAATATAAAATTAAATGTTTTCCAAGTAATAATTTATAATTTCTCTATAAGTTTTATAAATATTTACTGCATTGTAAATTTTTTCTTTCTACTTTTAGTCAGCGATTGGTTGAAGATCAGGACGACAATGAATTCAATAATGACAATATGGGTCGTCCAAATAACACCAGAATGAACGAAAGGTGCATAGAAAATGAGAACACCTTTGGATATAATATTGGACACACCATTGGATATACCATTGGTTGTGCCATTAAAGATACAAAGAAACTTAAAAAAGCCGGATCTTTCCTGAAGGCCGTATGGAAACCAATCAAAAAGTAAGTTTCTGCATATGTAAGTACAAAGTTCGATTTAGTTCGGTCATTCGTTTGCCTTTACAATTCTCACTAAATCCAGTGTGATGCTGAACTAAAGTACCTCAAACAGCAACAATTATACATAATATTAAGATGTACGCAGAGATTTGAGTTTGAAAACTTCGTAATTTTTATGAAAATGGCATAACTTCTTTATATTTTTGGCGCTATATCGATATTTAAGAAACTAGTTTTATTTCTAATTTAATGAAAAAATAAGCTACAAATGAAAATAAGATCAACTAGCAATTATTTATAAATATAACATTTTTTGATTCTCAATTTCATATAATGTAATATTTGCAATTAATCAATATAAACACAGTCGATATTGCACTCTCAATAAGTTTTGATAAATTTCAAATTCAGATATGTTTTCAATAAATAATTATATTTGTTTTTTCACATTCAGATCAGCACAGAAGTTATGGAGAGGAATGAAAAATGGAGAAACTGAATACATTCAGTTTGATTAATGATCTCTTTGTCTCCATGATTTTAGTCAAGTTTCCATCTGCTTGATATGGTTCGAGTACATCTCGGGTAAGAGTTTAATCAGAATATTTTTGTATTTTACACTTAACACAGATGATTTTCTACCCACAATTTATAAATTAAACACCATTTCTATCTCCAATAAAAATGGTGTTTTGGCCATGTTAACAGAAGAACAGAAAACATGTATTAAAGTGGAGATACATCATGTTTTTTATGATATTGAGATTTTACATATAGACAGACTGGAGTAGGCTTACAGGGAATTAAAATTATATATATATATATATTGTTGTCCATGTATCGACTAAAATATATTCCGGTAGTGTAAAAGTCTCGTAACACAGGGAAAACAACAGGGTAAATGGGAGTAGGGATTAAAATATTCAGCAAGTTTATATGAATATGAGTACACCAAGATTTTCAACTAATCAAATTAATAAAAATATATATATAACGTAATAAATGACACAACAGTAGCAAATTAATAATTATGCAATAAATAATTTTGGTTTGATTTTTAAAGAAGGGGTTTTAGAGAAAAAATAAACTTACTGATTTAAAAATTATTAAATAATTAAATATTTTTGATAAATTTATTGATTATTTTTTATTTTTATTTTCACAGATTTAAGAAGTCTTATTTTAAAATAAACAAAAAAATTAAAAGAGAAATCTATAAAACCAACAAAAGAATTGTTTTAAATTTCAATTTTCTTTTTGTTGTTTGCATTTTTATGCATTTATTCTAGTATTAATTAGGTTTTTTAATACCTCTTTTTTGTTTTTTTCTCTTTATTTCAAAATGTTCAAAAAAATTAAAAGAGAAATTTTAAAAATAACAAAAAAAGAATTTTAAATTCTAATTTTCTTTTTGTTTTTTGCATTTTTATGCATTTATTCTAGTATTAATTAGGTTTTTTAATACCTCTTTTTTTGTTTTTTTCTCTTTATTTCAAAATGTTCAAAAAAAATTAAAAGAGAAATTTTAAAAATAACAAAAAAAGAATTTTAAATTCTAATTTTCTTTTTGTTTTTTGCATTTTTATGCATTTATTCTAGTATTAATTAGGTTTTTTAATACCTCTTTTTTTGTTTTTTTCTCTTTATTTCAAAATGTTCAAAAAAAATTAAAAGAGAAATTTTAAAAATAACAAAAAAAGAATTTTAAATTCTAATTTTCTTTTTGTTTTTTGCATTTTTATGCATTTATTCTAGTATTAATTAGGTTTTTTAATACCTCTTTTTTTGTTTTTTTCTCTTTATTTCAAAATGTTCAAAAAAAATTAAAAGAGAAATTTTAAAAATAACAAAAAAAGAATTTTAAATTCTAATTTTCTTTTTGTTTTTTGCATTTTTATGCATTTATTCTAGTATTAATTAGGTTTTTTAATACCTCTTTTTTTGTTTTTTTCTCTTTATTTCAAAATGTTCAAAAAAAATTAAAAGAGAAATTTTAAAAATAACAAAAAAAGAATTTTAAATTCTAATTTTCTTTTTGTTTTTTGCATTTTTATGCATTTATTCTAGTATTAATTAGGTTTTTTAATACCTCTTTTTTTGTTTTTTTCTCTTTATTTCAAAATGTTCAAAAAAAATTAAAAGAGAAATTTTAAAAATAACAAAAAAAGAATTTTAAATTCTAATTTTCTTTTTGTTTTTTGCATTTTTATGCATTTATTCTAGTATTAATTAGGTTTTTTAATACCTCTTTTTTTGTTTTTTTCTCTTTATTTCAAAATGTTCAAAAAAAATTAAAAGAGAAATTTTAAAAATAACAAAAAAAGAATTTTAAATTCTAATTTTCTTTTTGTTTTTTGCATTTTTATGCATTTATTCTAGTATTAATTAGGTTTTTTAATACCTCTTTTTTTGTTTTTTTCTCTTTATTTCAAAATGTTCAAAAAAAATTAAAAGAGAAATTTTAAAAATAACAAAAAAAGAATTTTAAATTCTAATTTTCTTTTTGTTTTTTGCATTTTTATGCATTTATTCTAGTATTAATTAGGTTTTTTAATACCTCTTTTTTTGTTTTTTTCTCTTTATTTCAAAATGTTCAAAAAAAATTAAAAGAGAAATTTTAAAAATAACAAAAAAAGAATTTTAAATTCTAATTTTCTTTTTGTTTTTTGCATTTTTATGCATTTATTCTAGTATTAATTAGGTTTTTTAATACCTCTTTTTTTGTTTTTTTCTCTTTATTTCAAAATGTTCAAAAAAAATTAAAAGAGAAATTTTAAAAATAACAAAAAAAGAATTTTAAATTCTAATTTTCTTTTTGTTTTTTGCATTTTTATGCATTTATTCTAGTATTAATTAGGTTTTTTAATACCTCTTTTTTTGTTTTTTTCTCTTTATTTCAAAATGTTCAAAAAAAATTAAAAGAGAAATTTTAAAAATAACAAAAAAAGAATTTTAAATTCTAATTTTCTTTTTGTTTTTTGCATTTTTATGCATTTATTCTAGTATTAATTAGGTTTTTTAATACCTCTTTTTTTGTTTTTTTCTCTTTATTTCAAAATGTTCAAAAAAAATTAAAAGAGAAATTTTAAAAATAACAAAAAAAGAATTTTAAATTCTAATTTTCTTTTTGTTTTTTGCATTTTTATGCATTTATTCTAGTATTAATTAGGTTTTTTAATACCTCTTTTTTTGTTTTTTTCTCTTTATTTCAAAATGTTCAAAAAAAATTAAAAGAGAAATTTTAAAAATAACAAAAAAAGAATTTTAAATTCTAATTTTCTTTTTGTTTTTTGCATTTTTATGCATTTATTCTAGTATTAATTAGGTTTTTTAATACCTCTTTTTTTGTTTTTTTCTCTTTATTTCAAAATGTTCAAAAAAAATTAAAAGAGAAATTTTAAAAATAACAAAAAAAGAATTTTAAATTCTAATTTTCTTTTTGTTTTTTGCATTTTTATGCATTTATTCTAGTATTAATTAGGTTTTTTAATACCTCTTTTTTTGTTTTTTTCTCTTTATTTCAAAATGTTCAAAAAAAATTAAAAGAGAAATTTTAAAAATAACAAAAAAAGAATTTTAAATTCTAATTTTCTTTTTGTTTTTTGCATTTTTATGCATTTATTCTAGTATTAATTAGGTTTTTTAATACCTCTTTTTTTGTTTTTTTCTCTTTATTTCAAAATGTTCAAAAAAAATTAAAAGAGAAATTTTAAAAATAACAAAAAAAGAATTTTAAATTCTAATTTTCTTTTTGTTTTTTGCATTTTTATGCATTTATTCTAGTATTAATTAGGTTTTTTAATACCTCTTTTTTTGTTTTTTTCTCTTTATTTCAAAATGTTCAAAAAAAATTAAAAGAGAAATTTTAAAAATAACAAAAAAAGAATTTTAAATTCTAATTTTCTTTTTGTTTTTTGCATTTTTATGCATTTATTCTAGTATTAATTAGGTTTTTTAATACCTCTTTTTTTGTTTTTTTCTCTTTATTTCAAAATGTTCAAAAAAAATTAAAAGAGAAATTTTAAAAATAACAAAAAAAGAATTTTAAATTCTAATTTTCTTTTTGTTTTTTGCATTTTTATGCATTTATTCTAGTATTAATTAGGTTTTTTAATACCTCTTTTTTTGTTTTTTTCTCTTTATTTCAAAATGTTCAAAAAAAATTAAAAGAGAAATTTTAAAAATAACAAAAAAAGAATTTTAAATTCTAATTTTCTTTTTGTTTTTTGCATTTTTATGCATTTATTCTAGTATTAATTAGGTTTTTTAATACCTCTTTTTTTGTTTTTTTCTCTTTATTTCAAAATGTTCAAAAAAAATTAAAAGAGAAATTTTAAAAATAACAAAAAAAGAATTTTAAATTCTAATTTTCTTTTTGTTTTTTGCATTTTTATGCATTTATTCTAGTATTAATTAGGTTTTTTAATACCTCTTTTTTTGTTTTTTTCTCTTTATTTCAAAATGTTCAAAAAAAATTAAAAGAGAAATTTTAAAAATAACAAAAAAAGAATTTTAAATTCTAATTTTCTTTTTGTTTTTTGCATTTTTATGCATTTATTCTAGTATTAATTAGGTTTTTTAATACCTCTTTTTTTGTTTTTTTCTCTTTATTTCAAAATGTTCAAAAAAAATTAAAAGAGAAATTTTAAAAATAACAAAAAAAGAATTTTAAATTCTAATTTTCTTTTTGTTTTTTGCATTTTTATGCATTTATTCTAGTATTAATTAGGTTTTTTAATACCTCTTTTTTTGTTTTTTTCTCTTTATTTCAAAATGTTCAAAAAAAATTAAAAGAGAAATTTTAAAAATAACAAAAAAAGAATTTTAAATTCTAATTTTCTTTTTGTTTTTTGCATTTTTATGCATTTATTCTAGTATTAATTAGGTTTTTTAATACCTCTTTTTTTGTTTTTTTCTCTTTATTTCAAAATGTTCAAAAAAAATTAAAAGAGAAATTTTAAAAATAACAAAAAAAGAATTTTAAATTCTAATTTTCTTTTTGTTTTTTGCATTTTTATGCATTTATTCTAGTATTAATTAGGTTTTTTAATACCTCTTTTTTTGTTTTTTTCTCTTTATTTCAAAATGTTCAAAAAAAATTAAAAGAGAAATTTTAAAAATAACAAAAAAAGAATTTTAAATTCTAATTTTCTTTTTGTTTTTTGCATTTTTATGCATTTATTCTAGTATTAATTAGGTTTTTTAATACCTCTTTTTTTGTTTTTTTCTCTTTATTTCAAAATGTTCAAAAAAAATTAAAAGAGAAATTTTAAAAATAACAAAAAAAGAATTTTAAATTCTAATTTTCTTTTTGTTTTTTGCATTTTTATGCATTTATTCTAGTATTAATTAGGTTTTTTAATACCTCTTTTTTTGTTTTTTTCTCTTTATTTCAAAATGTTCAAAAAAAATTAAAAGAGAAATTTTAAAAATAACAAAAAAAGAATTTTAAATTCTAATTTTCTTTTTGTTTTTTGCATTTTTATGCATTTATTCTAGTATTAATTAGGTTTTTTAATACCTCTTTTTTTGTTTTTTTCTCTTTATTTCAAAATGTTCAAAAAAAATTAAAAGAGAAATTTTAAAAATAACAAAAAAAGAATTTTAAATTCTAATTTTCTTTTTGTTTTTTGCATTTTTATGCATTTATTCTAGTATTAATTAGGTTTTTTAATACCTCTTTTTTTGTTTTTTTCTCTTTATTTCAAAATGTTCAAAAAAAATTAAAAGAGAAATTTTAAAAATAACAAAAAAAGAATTTTAAATTCTAATTTTCTTTTTGTTTTTTGCATTTTTATGCATTTATTCTAGTATTAATTAGGTTTTTTAATACCTCTTTTTTTGTTTTTTTCTCTTTATTTCAAAATGTTCAAAAAAAATTAAAAGAGAAATTTTAAAAATAACAAAAAAAGAATTTTAAATTCTAATTTTCTTTTTGTTTTTTGCATTTTTATGCATTTATTCTAGTATTAATTAGGTTTTTTAATACCTCTTTTTTTGTTTTTTTCTCTTTATTTCAAAATGTTCAAAAAAAATTAAAAGAGAAATTTTAAAAATAACAAAAAAAGAATTTTAAATTCTAATTTTCTTTTTGTTTTTTGCATTTTTATGCATTTATTCTAGTATTAATTAGGTTTTTTAATACCTCTTTTTTTGTTTTTTTCTCTTTATTTCAAAATGTTCAAAAAAAATTAAAAGAGAAATTTTAAAAATAACAAAAAAAGAATTTTAAATTCTAATTTTCTTTTTGTTTTTTGCATTTTTATGCNTATGTCTTTTCTTAAGCAACTGTATTTGAATTAGTGATAACAACACAAAGAGAGCTGTCTGAGTACCACCTCCTTCCACAAACGCAAATTGCGTATCATTTCTATAATTATTAGCAGCTGTCCAATGGTTAAATTTACTAGCTAATACTGCAGTGAATACTTTTCGTAGACAAGACAGAAGAGCTATTGGTCTGTAATTGGTTGGATCCTGTTTGTTCTCTTGTTTAAATATCATGGTAAAAATGACTTCGTTCCATTTGTCCGGTATTATACTATAACTGTAGAATTGATTGAATTGTCTGGTTAAATATCGAATGATTTCTGGTGGCAGCATTTTAATAAGTAAATTAGGTATTGTATCTGCTCCTGGTGTTGATTTATCTTTAAGTTTCTTAATACAACCCTGAAGTTCTTCCGTCTTAATTATCTCTTCTCGATGAATTTCAGGTCTTATCTTAGTTTCTATGTATTTTTGACAAACATTTTTTCGGTAGTTTTCTGAGAATTTATTGTAGTATTTCAGCCAGTCATTATATCCTACTCTAGCCTGTATGTCATGACCTGACTTTCTTTTACGAAAATTGTTGATTATCGTCCAGAAAACTCTCGAGTCAATCGCTTCTGATACTGTAATTTCTTACTGATATTTAAAAAATATAATTTCTTTTTGGCTTTAATTAAATTATTATACATTTTCTTATATTTTAAGTAATTCATTGATGCTTTGCTGGTATTTGTTCGTCTGAAGACTTGTAAACTCTTTTGTTTTTTTAATTTTGTAACTATAACATGTATTATTATACCATTCGCATTTGAATATTTTTTTGTTCTGTCGTATACAATTCTTATACTTGTATTTCTCTAATTTAGTTGTAATATTCTAATAATTTTCTATTGGATCATTTTCTTTTTCCACGTTTAACATCTCCCCAATCATTTTATCGAACTCTTTTAACAATTTTCGTTTATTATAGGATGGTCTTAGTTCCAGATTAATAAGGTGACTTTGTTCACAATTATACAATTCATTTCTTATTTTTTGATATTTTATTAATTCCAACTGAATGGGAAAATGATCTGCCCGGTCATCCCCCAAAACATTCATGGAATTACAGCACTTTATCATTTCTTCTGAACAAATAATGTAGTCCACTATTGATTTCCCGTTTGGGGAAACAAAGGTAATTTCTGCAGGGGTATCGCCCCTCATCCTACCGTTCAGAATTATTAATTGGTTATTAAGAACAAACTCTAGAAGTACAGTACTTTCCCCTCTGTGTTTAATACTTTATCTTTGGATAGTCTCTTCTTGGCTATATTTTCGAACGTCTGAAAAAATATGGTATCCGTGGCTTCGCCAATACGTGCGTTTATATCACCTCCTATTATCCATAATTGTGTCAGGCTAGACCAGGGGTGGCCAACCTTTTGCATACCATGCGCCAATTTTTTGATAGACGAGTTCACATGCGCAGTGGCGTACCGTGAGTGTTAGCAGCCCGGGGTGGAGAAAAATTTCGGCCACCCCTTATTTAGGTATTTCAATTTATAAGACGAAAATTCAGATTTGCCACAGAACAAGCAATGAAAAATGCGGTTGTAGTGTAGCTACCCGTATAAAATAGTTCTATATGACATCAGTGGTGTACATGAACACGAATGCATCGTGTAACGTACAAGCAAACAAAACAAAAGAAAAAAAAAACGTCAACAGGTCGATTGCACCGAATTGTGTAAGAAAAACACTTGCCAAGACACACTGTAAAAAATTAATTTCCTATGTAATATTCATAATTGCAATGAAGCCAAATCTGGCAATGTTGCTCGGAACCGACTGAAGCGCCACTTGTAGCCGTCCAATGCGCCAAGTTTGGCGCATGCGCCACGTTTTGGCCACCCCTGGGCTAGACCATCTATCCAAAACTTTTTGCACTTTATTTAATATTAATTTCTTCTCAATTGATGGTGGTATATATATTACTACCACTCCCAAATACGTGTAAGACCATGTCATTTTGATTTTATTCTCTAATTTAATTATAACAGCAATAACATAGTCCGTTGTATATTGTAGGAATATTTCACCTAATCTTTTCTTAATTAATAGTAGAATTGGAATTCTACTATTAATTAAGAATGTCCAAATGGATGTCCAAATTTATTTTTCCGATTGAGCATTACTAATTATTATGTTATTGTCTTGTTCTAGATATTTTATTTCCATTTCACTAAATTTTATAATCCAGGTTTCTACAAATCCAATTATTTCTTTTGAATCCAGAAATTTTCTCATTGAAGTTTTAAATAATTTCCCTCTTAGTCCTTGAATATTCCAGAAGTTTATCATCACATTATTTATTACCCTTTTTGGAATTTCTACTGTTTTCTCACTCAATTCATTTACTTTGACTGTCAAATTATCTTCACTCATTTTCTTGTTTTTATTCTCCATATTATTAGCCATTTTCCTTTTCTTCTGTATTATTTTTAAATTTTGATTTATTTTTGTTAATCTTGTATTATATTTATCTCTAAAAAATGATTTAACTGAATTATTTCTTTGGTATTCAAATCATATGTATACATTATTTTATTTTTTAAAAAATAATCATCTCTAATTCTTATCTTTTCATCCGATTTCTCTAGTTTAATCGTTTTTAATAATAATTTTCTCCTGATTCTAGATCTATAACATAAGTCCGTTGATATTATTATTTTTTCATTTTCGTCCGTCATTTTCGGTCTTGTAGTCCAAAATTTATTAAAAATTAGATTTCTAATTTTAACCGAATCGGTCATAACCTTAATTACTTGATTATTTCTTCTATTTCCAATTTGAATAAGACCTTCGATTTCTATACTATTAAGCTCTAAGTTATCTTTTATAAATTTTTATATGGTCTAACTAACGTACTGTACCTGTACATTTTACAATTTACCTGATTTTTTTTATCAACGTGGAATTAAAAAGACTCGCAATTTTGTCAAAAAATGCCCAGGAGAAAGTATAAGAGTACAATTGGTCAAATGAATTCTAAATCTAAAAGAATAAGAACAATCGAGACCCCTGAATACCGAGAAGTTCGACTTGAGCAACTTCCAGTAAGAATTGCTATGTGAAGGGCTGCATCTCTACTCTTTTCAATTCTTTAATCTCTACTTTCCTTTAAAAATATTCAGTTATGCTTGACGGGAAAATTTCTAGTTGTTGCGTATTGATTTCAATCAATATTTAAAATGGAATAATGTTTATGATATTTTTTAATAATTATTAAAAATTGTTTTTTCTTCTATCGAAAGAAACCGCCAAATTTTTAATTTAGGGCTTTAAAAGCATTTCTTTATTTTCTAATTTTATTTTTATTTTGTGGTTTTAGGCCCTTTACCACTAAGAGAGCACAATGTTTTTCTAACTTAAACAAGTACAAGCATATTTTTATTTTTAAACTGGCCCAAAATTTAGTAACATAGAGCCATAGAAATATTTCAATCTGCTACTCGTGGCCCAGTCTTGCAATCCCAAAAACCAGCCGTATGTTATGAGATAAGAAAAAAAGTATCTTTTAGTAAAGTTACACCCGAAATTGTGTTACTGTTAAAGCAAAGCCATATCCACCAGATTAGAGTTGTTCTTGGTCTATTGTGATCTTACAGTATGGAGGCACTTCAATCTGAACGAACGAGTTAATATATCACAGTTCAGACAAAATTTTCACTTTTAATTTCGAAATAATAGAATTCCTTAACACGTAAATCTCTATATCCCCCACCGGGACAATAGGACAGTTAAGTACTAACGAGATTTCGAACCTCCGAGTTCGAGTTAACGAGGATTTCCTATATTAGAAATTAGAGTAAAACGTGCATTGTCTTAATTACTGATCGAATAAATTAATTTTGACTATAATTAACTCAAGAAACGATCGATACAAGAGTTATTTATTGAAGAAAGTTATACATATCGACATTGTTATTACATATTAAAAATTTACATATTCATATAAAGTTTTAATAACGAAATTCACTAAGAAGTCGCGTTTCCAACAAACTTTGGATATACAGACAAAGTTTACATATAAAACAACAGAAAATTGCAATTAGGAAATTACAACACATTCAAAAAGTTTAAATTTTAATTTTAAAACCAGTTTTGCTTGAATCTTTTGATCATTATACACAAATAGAAATTATATGTTTCAAAGAAAAATTATTTCTAAGTGTGACCATTATAATCTTTTTTTAGTTCATCATTTCGAATGAATTTCACTCGACATAATTAACATTCATACGGTTTTCTCTGGTATGTGTCCGAAGGTGTACAATTAAGCTTCCTCTATGCGCAAACTTTTGTTTACACTCGTCACAAGTATAGGGCTTTTCTCCTGTATGGATTCTTTCATGAGTTTTCAAACTTTGTTTAGTTGTAAACTTCTGTTTACATATGTCACAACTGTAAGGCTTTTCTCCGGTGTGGATCCGAAGGTGTGTAATTAAGCTTCCTCTATGTGCAAACTTCTGTTTACACTTGTCACAAGTGTAAGGCTTCTCTCCGGTGTGTATTCGAAGATGTAAAATTAAGTGTGCCTTTTGCGCAAACTTCTGTTTACACTCATCACAAGTATAGGGCTTTTCTTCTGTATGGGTTCTTTTATGAATTTCTAAACTATGTTCAGTTGTAAACTTCTGTTTACATATGTCACAATTGAACGGCTTTTCTCCAGTGTGGATCCGTAGGTGTGTAATTAAGTTTCCTTTTTGTGTAAACTTCTGTTTACACTTGTCACAAGTGTAAGGCTTTTCTCCAGTGTGAGTCCGAAGGTGTGTAATTAAGTTTCCTTTTTGTGTAAACTTCTGTTTACACTTGTCACAAGTGTAAGGCTTTTCTCCGGTGTGTATTCGAAGATGTGCAATTAAATGTGGCCTTTGTGCAAACTTCTGTTTACATTCATCACAAGTGTAGGGCTTTTCTTCCGTATGGGTTCTCTTATGAATTTCTAAACTTTGTTCAGTTGTAAACTTCTGTTTACATATGTAACAATTGTACGGCTTTTCTCCTGTATGGATCCGAAGGTGTTTAATTAAGTTTCTTTTTTCTGTAAATTTTTTATTACATTCGTCACAACAGAATGGTTTTTCTCCAGTATGGACCCGAAGATGTCTAATTAAGTTTCCTTTTTGTGTAAATTTGTGTTTACACTTGTCACAAGTGTAAGGCTTTTTTCCTGTATGAATTCTTTCATGAGTTTTTAAATTTTGTTTAGTTTTAAAATTCTTCTTACAGTGTTTACACGAAAATCTCATTTGTTTCCTTTTTTCTGCAATTAAAAAGTAGTTTGAAACGATATTTTATCGATATATAATAAAAATTTTCTTAATCAAAACAATAATTAATTAACAATAATATTTAATTAAATAATAATTTCTATATCTAAAAGCAATTTCTGCATCAAAACACAAAATCTAATTTTAGAAGTGATAAAGTTCGAGTGTATATATTTTATTTCACTAATATAATCAGCTAAGCAAGAACAATATATTAAAGTAAACAATTTCTGTAAAACATTTTTCATGTGTATTTATATCTTCATGATATTTCTTTTTATATCTTTGCAGTGAATCACTTGCTTCTGTTATATTTTTAAATGAAGAGCACTGACTTAAAGCAGTATATCTTATATACAATTTTTTCTATAAACTTGGAAAATATTTTCTTCAAAACTTTGTGTTTCATCCAAAGAACAACTGAAAGTAATAACAACACACATGAAATAAATTCTATAAAAAATTTAATTTAATAAGTTTTTAACATTAGAATGTATTATTCATATTCTTATTAATTCCTATTGTTAAATGTAAACTTGTATAATATCTTGCATTCAAATAAAAGAATATTGTATTTTTAAGACTTATGTTAAGTATACTTCCCTCATAACAAGTTCTGGATAAGAAGAACTCACAACGTTGGAATTCTTAAGATTGAATCAGGGAATTAATTCTTTTATTATCTTCGTTTGTTGCTTGTATTTTCAGGATAAAGATTAGCTAAATGAAAAAATAAAACGATCTTAAATATCAGAAAAATTTATATTCAATGTATTTTGTACAGTACAGTGATTAAAAATTCTATTTTCTACTCTAAATGTTTTAAAGTACAGTATATAAATTTTAAAAAAAATAAGCTACAATCATTATCAAGTTGTCATATTTACAGGGTAGCTAATGAATACTTTAATATACTTTAAATATGTTTAATGTCATGGTCCTGCGATAACACACTTCAATGGTCTCCAGTTTTATTTATTCGCGTTTTTCACGAACTATAGAGGACGCTGCATTTTTATAAAATGGCTACTTTATCTGGGTCGCTTGTAACACGTGCGACTAAACATCCAGATGGCACAACGCGCTGATTGGTCAGCTGTATGACGTCAACCTACTAAAATCGGAAATGTTGATCATCAGCCTAAACTTTGTATTGGTCTCCGTTGCCGCTCATAGCGGTGACCAGACCCTAAACACTGGGAAGTTCGGTCGTGGGTTCGCGCCGCGATCGGACAGGCTGGCTGCTTGGAGTTTTCCGGGTTTTCTCCTTGCCAATAACGACTGAATAGGAGGCCAGTTCCCCATAAAAGTCCTCCCGGAAGGCATTT